ATTACCCAACGCTGAACAGCTGAAGGGTCTTTATATTTTTCACTGGCAGCAGCATTGACGGTGTCTTTGAACTCCGCGTTCTTTTTCACTTCCGGTGCTGCTTCTTTCAGTTCGGGCAGCTTGGAAAAGTTCATGATATTTTCGGAGAATGGTTTTCGTACCGAATCGGAAACGGTGTAAAATGACGCACGTACGTTTTTATTCTTTGATATCTCCAGTGTAGCAAATCCGTTTTCCTGAGCGACATATAGACTCTTGCGGCTCTTATTGACCCGTTGTGTTTTGGAGCCGCTACCGGAAACGAGGTAATAATAACTGCTATCTTTTAATAGTTGCAGGTTGTGTTCGTGGCCGGCAACAAAGATCAGGTTAGGATGCTTGCGGGCTACTTTTTCAACGTCATGCACCATGTTTGCGTATTCAGGATGCTTGAGGTCTTGTGGAGTACCGAAAACACTGCGTGCGATGGGATATATGGATCCGAGAACAGGAAGTGGAATGTACAGGTTCTTGTTCATTTCGGTGAAGGGAAACAGGTGCTGTTTTAACCCGAAGTAACCCCCATGAACTCCATTACTGCGGAATGGGTGGTGGGTAGCGAGTATCACCAGTTTTTTATAATTCTTGGCGAGTATGTCTTCAAGTTGAGTTAAGATTTCATCTTTTGTTTTGTAGGGGCAATCGGATTCTATGCCGGGTTTGTCATAAGGGTGTATCCACCATTGGCTGTCCAATATGATAAGTATGGTTTCGTCATCTACATCGACAACGACGGGTCCACCGCAACCGTCCTGGGGGAAGAAACGGACATTGTCCTTGCCGAGCAGATTGACATAGTATTGTTCGCGTAAGATCGTTTCATAGCCAGCAGGCTGACCATTGTTCCAGTCATGGTTGCCGGGTATCATGTACAGCCTGGCTTTGGTATTGGCAACAATGGATATTTGCGAGTCCAATATGCTTCGCGCAAGGTTATAGGTAATTACCTGGTCATCAGGAAGGCCAACTTTGTAAACGTTATCGCCCAGGAACAGGACGACTGTTTTTTTGTCCAGCGGAACGGAAGCTCTTATGGCGTCAGAAACAGGGTGTCTGCCATTCGTAAACTGCCCACCGTCACCAACGAGAACAATACGGCTAAGGAGGCTGTCCTGCGAAATTGAATATTGCCATGCCAGGAGCAGGGCGAGTGAAATTAAAAATGTCTTTTTCATCGCGCCGGTTGGTATTTGTAAATAAAAATATTGGCGGCGCCAATGTCTGCCGATTCGTTGGATATAATGAGATCGCCTTCCGGAGTAAATGTCATCCCTTCCGGTTGTTTGAAAAGCCGCGGGTCTATCCGGTAAATATTTTCTACATCACCTGCCTGGTCGGCTACGACGAT